AACACAGCCTGCAAAGCAGCATATCGTCAAAGTCCCGACCGTAAAAACCAGGCCAATTAAGGGCTTAGGGCTCATTGTTTGAGTTCAAGTGACGCGAAAATTGCAGGCCTAAAGAACAAAACCGCCTCTTGAATGCATGGGGGAGAATGTTACTTCAGGACGCTCAGGGACCTTGAGGGCCGCATGGCCCTATAATTCCCGGGTCCAAGGTTGGTACAAAAAATAACTCACCGGCCCTTGAAACCCGAAACCGAGAAGCCTTCTGTTCAAGAATTGCACCTGGATTACAATATAGGCTCTTGAGCCCTTAGCACCGGTGGAATTGTGGGCACCCGTAGAACAAATGGGCCAGTCATTTCCTAGATGCTTGCTGCGCTCCTGGTGCTTTCACAGCGAGCATGGATTTTTCGCGGCTAGTCAAACAAAATGCTGGCGTGCAAGAGGCTTTTGAATTAAATTAAATGGCCTGGATGTTTCTCAAGATGGTTAGGATCTCCCTATCCAAGTCGATGGGGGATATATAGGTGATTATGCAGGGTTTAGGATTTAGGGCTTAGGGTTTAGGATCCAACCCCTGAATCACCACAAGCCTGAATATCAGGACAGGAAGGCCCCAAGAATATTGAGAAACTCCAATCCGGGTGGTCTGCTGAGTTTTCAGAACAGGCGTAGGCTATGAATCACCTCTCTCCTCCGTGGATGATAGGATATACCTTCCAATCCTAACCCTAAACCCTAAACCCCTAGGGTTTAGGGGTTAGGGGTTTAGGGTTTAGGGGTTTGGGGTTTAAGGGATTAGGGAAACCCTAAACTCTGAGATCTAAACTTTAAATCGTCGAGTCTGAGACCTACTCAGCCCTCGAGGCGTCCACTACAAAATCGCGTTGTGCCTTGAGAGCCGGAGGCCTTCACTCGAGAAGTGTTAAGACATGTTATAAGGCCTAGATGATTAACAGGCTTTGGAACAGAATCACGTAAGGATGTGTTGGAAGGAATATTGTCAACTATTCGCGCATTGATATTACATGGTAGGACGCTTGAAAAGGCAGGGGGGATATGTATCTCACTAAAACAAAAGGCAGCAGAAGTGACCCTTGAGTGTCCCCGCACACACCACGGACACCTGACGAGAATCTTTCCCTAAATGCTAAGCTGTAAGGGCCCAGCCGTAAGCCCTGACCAAAAACTGCAAGCTCTAGGCCCTTTAAGGGTTTGTAAATGCCCTGCCCGGGTGTGCTTTGTTTTGCTTTGGCCGTGAAGCATCTAAGCCCTATGCCCTACACTTGGAATTTCGCTTTTGTATTTCAAGCCCCAAGCACAGAACTTCATTCCTGAATCCTACAGTTCACCCTTGTCCTGAATACTTGAACTGAAACTTGCAACGCCACTACACCCCAAGCTCTGAACGCCAGGTTTCCAAAGGCTCAACAGGACTAGCTGGGCAAAGGAACCTCCGTCCTCCCTGCATCATCTAAAATCCATGAACAGGGTTTAGGGCTTGTTCGCATGGCTTAGCTTACCTTTGAACCTCAGAATTCTAGCTCGTAGTCTGGAAGTCTGAGGTTTAGGTCCAAGGTTTAGAGGCCTTTAACAGATGGGTGTGAGCATTCTGGTGTGCAGTCAGGGTGTTGTCAGTGCATAGCTCCTTGGTTGGGAACTTACACCTAGGTATATAGTCCCCCTTAAGTAGGTAGAACATGGGGTATATGGGGACCCTTACTATAATATGACCACCAGCCACATTCTATCTACTTAAGGGAAACTATACACTTTGGTTCAAAAGGTTTTCTCAGTGGAGCTCTGGTCAGTCGAGAACACTCCGTGCTTCATTGCTCCAAGCTTACATTATGGCCAGGTTTGGCACGTAGGCACCCTGAAACAACCAAATAACAAATATAGGGTTTAGGGTTTAGGGATTAGGGTTTAGGGTTGAAGAACTCCATCCACGAGTATGAAAGCTTCATGTCATTATTTTTTTCATGAAGGATGCGCTGAGCTTAAACCCAAACCCTTGAACTCTAGGCTCTAAACCTCACAGCTGAGTGCAACTACCCAGGATGAATTTCTTCTCTGAATTCTAAGCCAGAGCATCTTCACATGATTCTCGGGCTTTAGGGTTTAGGGTTGAGGTTTAGGGTGAAGGGTTCGGCTAGGAGTGTTGGACTGAGAGGTCAGGGGTCTATGTGGCACCTGCAATGACATGCGCTCTCGGATGCAGAGGGAAGTGAGGTTCCATCTAAGCAAGCTGCAACGTCGGCTGCAACACGCAGACCACTGCTGCTGCATACTCTCTGTAGATATATACCTTCACAGACATCTGATTTAAAAAGAACATCTTGTGAAATTCGCCCGCCACCCGTGTTGTCTTCACTTAGGTTCTGTTTGGCAGCCAACGAACAGCTGAAGTCGTGCACTTTCTCCAGATATCTCCACATACTGTGTGGAGTGGAACTCTGCCTCGTATCCACCCCTAGGCACTGCACGGGTTGGATGGACACGCAGCTTGCTCTATCTGCTTGGGTGCTACGAAGTTGATCTATTAGTACTAGATGGTGAACAAATGCTTGAAGCTGTAAACTGGCAAAACCCCAAAAAACTTCTGCGCCCGAAGCAGCTAGGTATATACACAGGCTGCGAACAGGAAAGAGAAAGGTTCCTTCCATACCAGATAGCAAACCTTTTCATTCTAGCTTGGGCTACCCGGAGCAGCACCATCCTTACGTGCACTTGCTAGTTGGACCCATCTTAAACAACAACACCCAATGTGTCAACGCCCTCTAAAGCCTTCAATTTTTGAGCTAGCACAGCATCTTGAGACTAGGGCCCGCTGAGAAGCAATTGAAAAAAAAGCATGGTAGACCATCATGCCCCAACAACCCTTAAACGCACCCTAACCACCAGCAAATGAGGGCCACAAGACCTTTGCTAAATCTTCAGCCCCGAACACAAAACTTGCCTCAAGCCCTTAGAGCCGCAACTCAAACCAAATCACTTTCCTCACGCGAATTTCATAGGGGCATCTGGCAGTGCCCTAGAACTGTAGGTTCTAAAGTTCAGCGAAAATTCACATGCCCATGGCGTACCTGCAGCTGCTCAGCTGCATCTTAGATGAGCGTGTGGTCAATCGTTTTTCGACTTCGAAGTGTACTGGCTTAGGATTCCGGGTATTAGTAGGTTTTTGGGATTAGGTCTTCGAGCCTAAGGTAAGGAGTAACATTGCACCCTAAACCATAAACCTAGAACCCTAACCCTCAACGCATAGTATAGGGGTCTACATGATTGTCTGCGTGCTTTCGGGGCCTATTTGGAGTACCCTGGACAATATGTAGGAATATCCGGAATCTAGAATATAATATTGGTAATACTTAACTATCACTAGAAAAATACACGCGCCCAGTTGTCACTTTGTTTTCCATGTTCTTTTACCATTTGATTCTCAACTAGTGGTACGTAGTAAGTACTTGGGCCTAAACCCTAAACCCACCCCAAACCCTAGACCCTAATCTCCAAACTCTAAACCCTAGAGTGCAAGCTTAGTCTTACGCTGAGCGTAACATGCGCCGCCAAGAGCATGCAGGCAGGGCTCTGCCTGGATCCATGATGTTGCAGAGCGCGGGCTCGACAGAGAAGTTCAGGGCATAGGATTTAGGGCTTAGGATTTAGGGTCTGGGCTTCAGGGTTTAGGGTCTGGGCTTCAAGACTTAGAGTTCAAGGTTTGGAGTTTAGGCTTTAAGTTTAGATCTTTGACACCGGAAGCTTGGTGAGCGCTGCCCTCACAATAGAAGCCTAGGGTAACAAGCTACAATGAGCCCGAAACCAGTCAGCTTGGTCTAAGGGCTTTCGGGGCGAAAAGTCATGAGTAGGATTGGGGTTAGAGGTTTAGGATTGGGCTAGGCGACTAGATGTTAGCCGATCCTGGAATCCGTGCGCCGTGCGATTGAGGTGAGGCTGCAAAGTGGTGGGTCCCTGAACCCTGCTTGTTCCAGCAAAAGCTGGGCACATACTCTGCATCTTCTGGCTTGGAGTTACCCAACACTGGCATGTATGGTCATTAGCATTAGTTTAATGTTTAGAGTCTAGGGTTTGGGGATGGGTTGTCTGTGTAACATATCCAGGAAATTAGCAAATTCTCCATCTAGCCTCTAGACCCGAGAGAGATTTCCCAAATGCCTTGACTTCGGACCTGTAAACTGCTCTCAGTCCTCTTCATCCCAAAGTGACCCCAGGCAACCCCATTGCTCGCGGCACGGCGAGATTAAAGTCTCAAGCAAAATATTCAGGAAGGGTGCTAGAATTCTCGTTCCTTCTGTGCTATCGACCCCGCAACTCTGTTCACTGTGTTAGATAGAACATGCAGCTCCAGTAGCTGCTGCAAAGAGACTAAGACGCTGGTCTGTGACCAAGTGCCCTCAGCAGCGGGAACATCCCACAACTTTTCGCGTACATCCCTCTTCAGACCTCCAGGGGGCACCTAGGATTTAGAGTTCTGGATTTAGGGCTTAAAATCGTGAGGTTTGGGCTTTTAGTTCTACGGGACCAAGCTCTGGGTGGAGACGAATTGAAGTTCTAGAGGGAGAAGTTCCGGGTTAAGGTTGAAGGGATGAGGGTTTAGGGTTTGGGGTTTAGGGCGGCCTTGAAGTTTCAAACTTGGGGTTCAGGCCTAGGGTGGACTTCACATTGATCGATTCTGACAGACGAAGGATGCCGGCAGGGCTTAACGCTCAGGACCCAGACATCGTAGACCCAAACCCAGAAACTCAGATCCCGAATCCCAAGCCCTAGACCCTAAACCCTAAATCGCCACACTTTAATGCAAAGAGCGTAGCCACACTCCGACATCCAAATGAGCTATAGTCTAAACTCCTTGTATCCCCCTTATAAACACCCCAATAATACTCCCCGAAAGAAATCCCCTATATAACGCCCTTAAAGGAGCATAGACTATAGCTCATATCGGATCCAAGCAGCACCTTGCAGAATTCTCCCTTTCCCTCAACGACTCAAAGTAGAGATGTGTCTGCCTTCACGTTCTGGTCCAAGCGAATGTCCCATGGTTCCAATTCCGCGGTATTGTACTTTCTCCACTTTTGGTCGTGGTTGTAGTACACCTGTTGTCAACCAATGCTAATTCAAAAGAATTGGGGACTCTAAGCCCTAAAACCCTAAACCCTCAAACCCTAAACCCTAAAACCCTAAACCCTAAAACCCTAAACCCTAAACCCTAAAACCCTAAACCCTAAAGCCCTAAACCCTAAAGCGGGCCCGGGTTACTTTGGGGAAGGTACTAAGGCCCACCTGCTCACCCACCACTCCAAAGAGCTCCGGACCCTGGCCAACCGTTTTGTAGTACTCGGCGTTTGCGTCCTCACGAGGCGGTGGACGACTCATAGAAGTTCCAGGTTTGCGATTGAGACTTCGGGGATTCTCATTTAGGCTGGGAGCTAACTCCAGCCGCCCACAAAATCCTCTGCCTCCAAAAACTGCGCGCAACGCCGTGTACCTCCTATTGTGAACCATTGATGCCCGGAGCCTTGCAACAATAACCCTAGCAAGCGAGAGGAATCACCATTCGATATCAGTGGCAAACTCTCCGTAGATTTCATTGCTGCTTTAGTTGTTGTTATTATTATTATTACTATTATTATTCTTACTATTACTATTACTATTATTATTATTACTATTACTATTATTGCAGTTGATGAGCTCAGGTTGGCCTTGGGGGTAGCTTCTCTGAGGGCTGCTGGGAGGCACGGCATGAGTAATACACCTCTGTAACCTAAAGGAGGAAGCTGATTCTTCTTCCGTGAGGGGCAATGCGCTCTGAAGCAATAATAGTTCACTGTCACGAAATGGATGTCCGAAGTGAACCCCAGTGTACATGCAGGACTCACATAACTCTTCATAGCCCAAGCCAGTCCCCGTACTTCTAAAGAGCATGCTATGTGCGGAGGTGCTTGTGCAGTCTATAAAACAGATCAACTAGTTTCGTGTATGTAGGAACTGTATGGCTTAGGACATCTAATCATTCCGGACCTTACAATCTCAGCAGCTTGTTGCCAAAACAGTCAAAATGTCTCTCGGTTTGTAGATGAGCTCACGTGACAGTTGCTTTCAGACATTTCGCCATGATCGATGTTGGGGCTGACACGGGGAGACTACCAGAATCAGGCATCCCCTATTTCGCAGGCTCTAATAGTCTCTATTATACTCTGAACTATAATCAGGACTGCTTGAAGCAAATATGGAGGACCTCTGTTTTTGCGGAGCACTCCATGCAAAAGCTTTCGAGGCAGCGACGTGCCTGCAGCGGAACATCTCGGTCGCGTTCTTCGTTCGATGTCTCTGCGAGCCACGCCCAAGTCGTTCGGAAACCGCGCGCCAACACGAGACGGCCAGAGTAGTTTTGAAACCTCCCGGGCCAAGCGGATTTTGTAGAAACTTTTAGAGTTTAGGATTCAGGGTTACGGGCTTCCCAGCATGAGATGCAAAACCTCAAGGGGTAGTTGAGGCGTATCCCAGCTTCTTCAGCGCTAGTAGTTTGCAAAAATAGGGGGAACCCAATATAGGCGCCAAAATACTATCATCCTTATCATGGGGACCCCATATAGTGCCTGAATCTATGTGATCCCGCTTTGCATCAATCGATTAAACAATGCTTCTTTCATTATTTGGATGCTTCGGAAACAAGATCTCCCTTCGCAACCTTAAGCTTGCGGTCCCTATGTGAGGGCCGTTAGGGTTTAGGGTTTAGTCTAGAAACCACAGGCGTGACAGGAGCTCTCGAGAACCAGGCTTTTTTTGCAATCTCGCGTTACACTCACAGACCTGCTTCGAACTTCAGCTCAACTTCTTGTTTAAGTCCTATCCAAACTTGCCAGTTGCACGAATGTTGCAACATGTTTGAAGAAAACTCTCCAGCATAAACGACATCATGAGCCTCTCAGCATGCCCATAGCTATGAGCCCAAAACTGAGCGTAAAGACGAACACCTTGCCCAAGTGCGATCTAGCTACCCACCCACCCCTTTCCCCACTTTTTCGTGACGCTGTTAAGCAACCGCACCTGAAGGCTCGCCTGCCATCAAGCTGAGACCGGCTGCTCCACGAAACCTCCGCATTTACTTTGAAACGGCGTTTCGGGACTTGGGGCCAGGATAATGCTTCAGGGTTTGGGGTCTCTCTGCTTAGATGCAACCGACCGCCAATCCTTGTAACGTGTCATTAAGCCATACCGGCGCCAGACCTTTACATCGGTGTAGATGGCACGCGACAGACGCAGCTTGAGAATACAGCTTCCTTCCCCATTGGCAATCCTTAGTCCACGTGGCAAAGAAAGGGCACGCAACTCACTTTTTGTACTATTGGCAAAATGGTTTAAGCTACGGTATGGCAGTCACTTTTTCACGGCCTGAAAAAAAGATGAAGAATCCTAAGCTGGATCCCAGCAACGCTGCGACCAGTGCAAGTGCCTGCTCTCGTTCTGCGAGTGCAAGTGCCTGCTCTCGTTCTGTGAGTGTAAGTGCCCGCTCTGCTCCTGTGGGAGATGCCACGTGTATTTGCTTGGTGGACGTTTCAGCTGTAGGCAGGATTTGTCTGCTGCGAAACTGCCAAATCATTTCCTCCAGTTGCACAGCTGCCAACGTCTCTTGGCGTTTTTTTTTGCCTTGCTCGGCCAGCGACCTCACACGTTCGATTATGTTATTGGAACCGCCTGGCGAGGCGTTTGCCTCAAGAAGCAATGTCTTGTGAATCCCACATAGGAGCGACCGCAGCATCTGTAGATCGGCATCAGACCCAGACATGACCTGGACATCTGGTAAGACTCCCTAGCAAGCTTTCTTGTTAGCACCTTGGCGCTTTGGGGAGCTAGAAAAATCAATCAGGATGGGGGGCAGCTATGCGGGGATCTGGCGCAACTCAGCCCATGATAGGGCTTAGGGGCTAGGGGGCCATGAACTATCGCATTAAAACACTGCAAGCTTGCTGACACTGTCTGACTGCTTTCCATCCTATGAGTACTGTTCAGTTTGAAGCTTCCTCGGCACATGCCCCGGCCATGCTCCTACTGCGATATCAACCAACAGCGCTGCTCTTGAACATTACCACTCCAGGCCGCACCCCGCTGCGGCGGCCTAAGCAATCAGAATAGGACTCTGCGTGCCAAGTTGTTAAAAACTACTACAGGGCATAATACATCCCATAGATCAGGCCCGAAAAGGAAAAGCAAACAGACACGGCCTGCTGGATACCTTGCGCGATTTCCAGCAAAGACAGTGCTGATCTATCTCCCGGCTCCTCCAAGTTTTGAGGTCTGAGGGTGTAGGGTTTGAGGAAGCTACCTTGGACCGTAATCCTTCCAGCTTAAATCCTGAACCCCAAGCACCAAAACCCCTTTCTGGTCCTTGAGGTAGCTATGAAGGCTACAATCGATGGTCTACGGGAGGGTCCTGTCAACCTCTTTTCGCTCTATGGACCTAAACTTCAAGCCCTAATAGGCCCTTCCCTCTCCTCCAGCCGTTCTGCACTGAAATTGCCCCACTCCTCCAGTCGAAAACGCCACAGGGCTGCCTCCTCCCAAAGATCTTCTTCTGTTTCGAGGCGCCTTCAATCGGGGTCTTAGCTTTGAGAGTTTAGTTCTTCAGGTTTCTGAAGAGCTTCCAGGGTTCAAGCATCTATACTATATCTTAAAATACCCCAATAGTGGACAATCAAATGGAAAAGAACATGGAAAATGAAATGGAAACTGGGTTATATGGGGAATAATCCTGGCTAAGCGGGAATAATAACTAGCCTTCTGGGCTGATACGTTTGACTGACTTGGATCCCCCCCAGGGAAGTTCGAGACGCAGACCTGGGTTCCTTCCTCTGGAAAATATACTATTTAGGGTTTAGGGTTTAGGGTTTATAGTAGTTATCGTTTTACTTTCCATCATCCCTATATAGCCCAATATTACCACTAGAAGCTCCTAAGCTGGTGCCAGACCACGGCTCAGGGAACTTGGGATTCCGGAAAGTGGGGATTCAGTTTGTTGCGTTCAAGGGTATGGCTGACAGACACATTCCTCGCCGGCTCCAAAACAGAAAGCTGAAGAACATGGTTTTGGGGCTTAAGGCCTGGGGACTGAAGCTTCGGGGCGAGCTTGGTTGTGGACGATGTATTATACTATATATTACTAACCGCAATAATGGAGAATCAAATGGAAAAGAAAGTGGAAATGAAATGGAAACTGGGTTATAGCTATAGTGAGCTGAGATGGCCTTGAGCAAGGGTTCTCGACCTTCTGCAAGAAAATGAGGGCCAGGATGTAGAGGGAGTCGTCAGTCGGATTAATGCCACTTCGGATGCACTGCCAATGGCAGTTGGCGAGCCAGTAGACATGTCGCAGCTTCTCATCCACTGGGAGAGCCTGCGACTGATGAGCTCAAGGCCAAACCCTAAATCCGACGGTTTAGGTGTTAGGGTTCAACCCCTGTAAGTAATGCCCCTAAATCATCCAAATAACAAGTGCCATCTAACTCCCAAAAAAAAACGGCCCCTCCTACCGCATTAAAAAATTGCAAAATGCTGACCCCCTAGGCTGTAGTTGAGGAATCAGAAAGGTTCGACCGAAGACTTCGGGGCACGGTAACTTCTTCGAAGAGTATGCTAGATGTACAGCGCGAACTTATGATCCACCCTGGCTGTTTTCATGTCAGTTTGTGCATCCCAACAGTCCTCATTGTCCAGTACCTCCAGAATTGGGCCACAAATGTTCTGGTAGCGGTCGTAATTCATGGGGCGTCTATGCACCGGGCACGTCTCGCACAGAGGGGCCTTTTCTGCTACTAGCAATACGTGGCAGTACGACCCAGACTAAATGCATTTTCATCGTTGAGGTTCAAGTGACGCTAAAACTTCGTATTTCCCAAGTGGCCTAGACCCAACATCCCGCACTAAAGCCTAAATGTGCGATAGCCTAAACTCCCAGTATCCACTTAATAACCCCAATAATACTCCCCTATATAACCCCCTTTGATGGGGTTAAGATTATGGATCATACGAACTCCAAGCCATGTCTCAAACCCACATCCTTAGGGCCCTCATCCGGAGACGCGCGCAGCTCTGGGCTTGACAGACTCAGCCAATGCCTGCAGCAACCTGTGAGAGCATAATAACAATACCCATAACACGATAACACGAATAATAACACTACTATGAATAGTAAGATTAAAAATGATAATACTACTAACTACTAATTATAATTTGTTTTTACTTCAAGGGTCCATTCGACTGCAACCGAATTCATAGAGCTCCAGGCTAAACATCCTAACAACTGGGCATATAGGTGTTGCAAGCAATCCATCATGCAACATGTGCGCTGAGGCAATGCAATTCGTGAACCATTACCATCCAAATACAAAGCACGGTACCCGACACTGCACACTGCTCTACAACTGACGGGACGACAGCAAATAATGAGGGTTTCGGGTGTAGCGCGAGGGGTTGGAATTCAGTGTAGGTTTGTGGGCAAACTTAATCAAGAGGAAAGCGAAGTCAAGTATTGTTTGGACAGACAAATAGGAAGCGGGACAAAGCACGAAATCCTGAGTTCTGAGACCTAGGCTTCTACCCCAAAGCTCAAAAATCCTCTGCCAAAAGCCAAACCCCCAATTACAGTCCCATCTGCCATGGCGCAGCTCTGAAATCTAAGATTTCATAACTATTACTATTACTATTATATTGACTAACTATTTTTATTGGTATTACTATTAAATTAACTAACATTATTCATACTATTACCACCTAAGGACCACAAAAGCCTCTCATCATCAGTGAGGGTACTGAGCTCTTCTTGAAGAAGCCTAGTAAACTCTTGTAGGGATTTCTCCAAATCAGAATACCTCAGCGGAAATGGGCATTTATCTTCTCCCTCCACCCCCTACGTAAGCTTGAAATCCTGATATACTGCAAGACGGCCCTCACGTAGCTACATATACATGACATTGTGGTTGCATGTCTGTTCACAACCTCAGCAATTTCTTTTCCTGGTAGTGGCCCACCTGTCTAGGGAGACTATCTCCTAAGGGGTGACTGATTGGGTAAACAGGAAGCCCTCTACCCTAAATTCAAAGCGCAGTTCCTCAGCCCTAAACCCTACACCCTCTCCCCTAAAACCTAAACCCCATTCCCTAAACCCTATTCCCTAAACCCTAACCCCCATTCCCAACACCCTATTCCCTAAACCCTAAACCCCATTCCCTACACCCTATTCCCTAAACCCCAACCCCTAAAGCAGCTCCTGAGGACGTTGAGCCCACAGATGGCCCCGGCATCCTTTGTTGCCTGCCTGGCGCCAAGCAGTCAAGATGTAAATGGCGATCTCTGAAGGGTTAGGGTTTAGGGTTTAGGGTATAGGGTTTAGGGTTAGGGAGGGAATACTCAGAAGGGTTCGGGGAATAGGGTTAGGATTTAGGGAAAAGAGGGTTTACGGTTTTGGGGGGACATAAGGGCCGAAATTGCCATTCTCTGGCATTAGGACTCTCAGATTCCTGTGTTCAAGATGATAATGTGGCTACGGATTGCATACGGCTTATTATCTTTTTTGGCAATAGAACTACATAAGGGCTGTGTAAGGCTCACCCAGGGGAAACTACCTACCTGAAACTTCCTTAGAATGTCTTGAAATGAGCCATAATCCAAACTCCTGATATCCGCCTTAATACGCCCTATAATACTCCCCAATGTAATCCCCCATATAACCCCCTTTAAGCAGTCTAGACCATAGCACAAATGGGGGAGGACATCGGGAACATAGGGGGAGATCTTGGGACTGGAAGGAGAGTACCGGATGCCTGTGAAAGACTATGTAGTGATATTTTTGAGAAAGTCCCGATGGGTTTAGGCATTAAGGATTGGGGTCTAGAGGTCTGGATTTAGGGAGTTGGCCTTTGGTGTAGTTAGGGGGTTCAGGAGTCTGCAAGGGGTTGAGCTTTCTTTTAATTTAAGTTCCTTAAATCCCTGTATTCCCGCAGTTTCCATTTCATTTTCCATTTTCTTTCGACTTGATCCTCCATTATAGGGGAATAGTATAGTAGCTTATTAGATTAAGTTCCTTAACAAGAAAATTAAGAGGCAACCCAGAGGATCCTCCGCTTCTGCAGGGAGTGGAAGGGGATTCTGGAGGGTTGCTTTAAAGCGCGTGTAAGGGTCAGGATTTAGGGTTTAGGGTTTAAGGGTTTAGGGATTTAGGGTTTAGGGATTAGGGATTAGGGTTTAGGGTTAAGGGTTAAGGGTTTAGGGCCGAGGGTTCGGGGCATAGGGTTTAGCGTTTAGGGTGCGCGGGGCGTAGGGGTTGCGCTGATTAACGCCGATACCTGGTTCCAGAGGCCCTTTTGAGAACGGCTACAGGAAGACTACGGGGTGGAGAGTCATCCAAAATGCAGGGATTGTATATGGTGCAGGATTCTCTGGTCTGCCAAATTGGACACCCAAGGACAAACCCATCAATATTGCCAGGAAATGACATGCAGTCACCAACACCTTTAAAACATGGTTCATCTTTTGGAAAGTTGTCAGTGTTCTAGTCTTTTTCGGTGCGCCTACCCTACTAGAAGATGGCCGGTCATATGTTTAAAGCTAACCCCAAGACTGACTGGACCATGACTTTGCGGTTCTGGAATTTGGAGTCGGGAGCTGCAGGATAAGCTAAAACTCCAAACTAACGCTTCCTTTATCACCCCGCCACACACACAAGCTGTAGTCTTGATTAGGGTTGCTTGGGGAAGGAGGGATAGCCTAGGGGCTGAGGGAACGCATGTCACACTTGCTCTAGTAGCCGAAAACTCAGATTTAGTGGCATTTTAGCTAGAAATCAAAAAGAGCACTCAGAGCATCATTGGATGTTGCTTCGGGTGGGCCGGCACCTCTGTGAGTCGTTGAAGTAGGCGGGTACCTGCGTTGCTCTGGGTTTGGCGTGTTTGGAGCTACAGCTGCTCTCTGCACCGAAAAGTGCAATGATGTGCAGTGTGCAGGCTTCTACAGTATAGACAACCCTGGGGCGTTTGAAGCATGATTGAAGGGCGTTTAGGTGAGTGTCTTGGACACCCCCAGAACATGCAAAGCCTTTATCTCCCTCTTCCAAAATCCCCAATGCTCATTCTCAAGCAAATAGAATATGGCCAGGCTTTATGTTCAATCTACTGACTGCATGAATATCAAATAAGATTAGGATCATTCCAAAGCTTGGTGTCCTTGATATTGGGGATCTGAAGGACATGAATAGGACAGGTTACAAAGGGCTCTAGCCCTTCTCGTGTCCGACAGCATGCTGACTAGTCATGCGCCACAACACTTTCTCTGCCTAACGCTTCCTACATCGTGATGCATGCCATGTCATACGCATAGTGTATAAATATAGTGCCCACATATGATCATCAAAGGATTGGAGGATTGGCTGTAAGGTGGAGGGGCGCTTCGTTCCTCTGGGACATGGTTGAAACCCCCACACTTCTGCCGGTGCGGCACCGTGACCACCGCGTCTGTGACGGGATGGCCCAAGTAAGCCTGTCAAAGCAACAGCAAATGAGCGCACGCCCTGTGACTCACTGGGGCTTAGTAGGAATATGGGAATATATAATAGGGGTCATAACTTCCAGTAGTTCAGATAATTACTACGCAGCTTCCCAAGAATTCCTATGCCCCAATGGTGTACTCTATACTACAAACAGTGGATAGAAGACCCACAAGATTCCAAGAAGCCTGATCTGCCTTGTTTTGTGGAAAACCCACAGAAAATGCAGCACATGTCACTGGCAATCATGTGAACCGGAAAGCAAGAACCCCATGCCCCCCCCGTTTGGAAATGTTGCTCTTGTTTTTCATGCTCTCCAGCTGCCCTACGTGTGCTGGTGCTTGAGACCAACCTCCGCTAAACCTCAGGGAGCATGGAGCGCTCAAGCAGCCCCTGCCATCCGATGCCTATATGAGGAGTCCATGAGGAGCAAGCTACGAATCTGAGAGACCAATGTCGACAATCCAATACCAAACTGAATCAACCTTCAAAAAGACCCCCGGTAGTGACCCACAGCTAGAAGAAGACCCATATCATTCCCAAATCTGCTTCTAGGCAAGTGCCGCTCTTGTTGTCATGACTGTGTCCCTACCATGAATACTCTTATCTGTTAGCAAAACATCCTATCACAATCCGAATCTGAAAAAACTCTAAGGAGGCCCGGCCCTGAACGTAACCCTGAAGCCCCGCATATCCTTCTCGCAGTATTGAAAGAAAACTTGAAAATGAACCCCGTGACTGGTAGCTGATCAACATCTGTTCCAGGTTTAGCAGGTACAGAAAACGATTCGGTTTTCTGTTCTATTATCGCTATATAACCCAATATACCTATCATAATATAGTAGTTTCCATTTTCTTTTCCATTATCCCAATATAACCCCAATATATACCCATATTCCAGTAGTCTCTTAGCCAGCTTCCAGCCTCCGCCGTCTCCTTCATCTTCTGAAGGACCATGGCCTAAAGGATTTAAAGCTCCAGCTTTGGGGGGTTCCCAAGGGTTTAGGGTTTAGGGTTTTTGGGGGTTCTAAGGGCTGAAGCGTTAGGGCTTTCATGTTAGCGGGCCACTATGGTTTTCAGAAATAGCCTTGCCAGGACCTTGAAAGAGCTGCATGCCCTGAGGGTCTTGTAGATGTCTTAGACTAGCCGTACCTGCTACACCCCGATGGACCTGGTCCGTGGAGCTTGCCGCTTTGCAATGGTGAGTTTCCGCCTCGAAGGATGT